ACCAGGCAGGAAGACCTCAGCAAATGGAATCCTGAATGTAAGCTGTTGCTGATAGTTAGGGTTTTTGATCTCATCTAATCAAATGTAACAACAATGAAAGAATTTTACTGCTGTACAATTCAGGAGAAAACACTAACAAAAAAATAGCTCTACAGTTCTTCAAGCATGTTTTTGAACAAAAAATAATTATCATCAAGGCTACGCAGCAAGGGGGATGAGAAATAGGCAGCACTGCACTTTTCTGATTGCCATTGTATTAATTTTTAACAATAAATTCAGTCATTTCCTTGAAGGATAATTTTCTTAAGTAAACTTATATCTTTAGCATCTAACCCTTTTGCAGTATTTTATTCTTAACTGATTTCTGGGGGGAAAAAAAGGGACAAACTGCAACAAAAAGCAGATTTATAAATATATACAATATCTTATTAGCTTCTAGGCGCTCATATTTAAAACAAATTTGAGCTCAGCTAAGCCCAATTATAATATCTCGCTGGGCAGAGAAATTAATTAAACAGCTGAATGATAAAGACCCCAGCAGCAAACTAAGGCTTTAAAATAAATAAGATCGTTCTTTTAATTTTTTGAGGAGAAGAAAAAAGGGAAAGAAAGAAACCTATAATAGACATTTCAAATGTTAATGTAACCAGCCTTTTCAGGAGTGCAGTGCACTGTAAATAAGACTACCTGGTGGGAGAATGCAGTGGCAGCTCTAACGTGGCTCGCCAACTTTGCGTCTTGCTAATGTGCAACACACGCACCCCTTTTGCATCAACTTCAAATAACCCTGGGATCTCAGCAGTGCAGCTCAGCAACAACAGAACAAGGGCAGAACTTGTCAGGATTTAAAAGCTTTCAGCAAAACCCTTCAATTGCAGCCAGTACCCTATTCCATAGAAGGATATCAATTATAGATAGTGACTTGCTTTAGCAGTGCAGTCGGTACTGTCAGACGCTAGATAGACAACCATGAAGAATCATGAATCTTTCTATTAACTGTAAGAGAAGGAGGGGGGAGAGGAAGGATGGATAGGTGTTACAAATAAGGCAGAGCATCTGATGGTTTAACACCTTGCCTTTTGGTGCATGCATCATGAAAATTTAACCATGCTGAATTCTAAGTGGCTCACATCACTTGAAAATAAGAGCACCTGTGCCAAAATTTCACCGACAGACCCTTCTGGGTGGGTCAATAATAATTTTTTTAGGTAGCTTTTTAGTTATTTATTCATAGCAGCTCAGGTTCTGTTAATAAATTCAGTCAGAAAACATTGGGACCAAAGAACACTTTCAGTGGCACCTACATTTTACACTAATAACTGTAAGACTTTGCTACAGAAATGCAGAAAATGATATAAAATGCTGACTACTGAAATTGCACAACATTGCGATTTCTGCTGTAAAGCTATACCACATAGGCACAGACTTTGTTTGTTTAGGCACAGACTTTGTTTGCCTTTATCATTTCATACGTGCTATGTCACACATCACTTTGTAGTGCTGATTCAACTAGAGTTGATTTCAAAGTAAATTATGTCTCGAAGTTCCCCAAGAAATAACAAAGCTATCCGTATATGACAGAAAGACCAGAATATACATGAACTCATATTTACCTTTTTCAAAACACATGCATATGTTCTTGAATATGTATAGGATGTGTATACATCCTATACACAGTGGGAGTGATGTCATCTATACCATGAACTGTGTGCAGTGTGTATTGTGGAAAAGCTTTTCGAAGCTCTACTAAACCTGGCATGATTAGAATTCATGGAGAGTTACCTAATCCTTCAGGAAACAAAACAAACAGCTAGAAACATACTTCCATCTCTTCCCTTAACACCACAGTTCCTCCAAAATTTCAGTGCGTTGGGAAGCAAGGCTTGGATAACAGTCTGTCCTGTGCCATTGGACATTCTGGGTCTGATCTCTTGCTATTATGCATGGTTACAACTGTCCAGAAAGACAGCAGATGTTATCTGGATGAGTCTTGCTAGGGTAATTTAAGCCTTTATTACCTTTATCTATGCCAGTTGCTTCTGTCTTGGTGATTACTACCCCACAGCAGAATCAACAAACCCGGATGGTTATCTACACTTTTGACATCCTGTCCAGCATCTTACTTCCAAACCTTCAAGCTCAGCTGGAGCAGCTCAAGCCCTGCTGTGTCTGCCAGTGGGGATCACCAGGAGAGCAGTAGCACATGCAGCCAGGAGAGGCATGGTGGCAGAATTCTGTTGCCAGATCAGGTGAGTCCTGACAGCCGAACAGCCTGAAGTACGTGGCCCCAGAGCCACAGGGTGAAAGACCTTGTATGTGTGTGTGTCGGGTGCACTCCTCCTGCCACGCTTGAGCAGGAGGAGTGGCACTGTGAGGCCTCGGGCTTGGAGAGGCCACCAGCTGCTCCCACAGTGTCAGGGCTGCAGAGCCAAGCGTGTGCATGGGCCCTGAGACACACGGCCTTGTCTGTGCCTGGCTCAGGCATGCACATGCACATGCACCACACACAGCACTATGAACTGTGCTGACACTGATTTAAGCACAGCTACAGCAATTTGTATCTACTTGGATTTACCTACAGTATTTGGATAGGAGGCATACATGAGCCATGCCACTTTTTCACCTCAGATTTTCAAGGACCTCATGCTCAAGGACAGAACACTTTCTGCCAGAGTGACACACCTAAGCAAAACCAGGACTGCCCTTCCATGAAGCCCTGCTGAGACCAGACTTCATATCCCTAGTTGCTGCAGATGTACATCAGAGGGCTGTGGCAATCAAAGGCAGACAAAATGTGCAAAAGGCAGACTGGGGTGAGTGGCCAGACTTTCAAACAGAGTTAGATGTCTAAAGCCCTTTGCAATTCTGGGCAGAAATAACTCGCTCAAGTCCCCACAGCGGGGCTCTGCTGGAGCAGCAAAAGAAATCACAAACCGTGGCCCCATCACTGAATCCCGCTGACTCTTACAGCATGATTTGTGCTACTTAAATGTAGCACAAATGTGATGGTTGCCATTATGAATTTATTGTCTTCAGGGTATAGAGTCAAGTCTTGTACCTTGTAATCTGAACACCACCATAACACACCTCAATCCTGAGCCCTGCCACAGAGCTCTGTGTCACAGAAAACTTTTTTATATTCCTTTTCTATATCTAGAGAAACTCGTTTCAGATGTTTCCATTGTTCAGAAGCATAAGAAATACACCTTTTTCAGTTGACCATTGCTGTTTACTATTAAAATGCAAGCATATTTGCTATAAAAATCCCAACAAAACCAACAAATTAACTTTAAAATTACACTCCAGAAGAACTAAACTACCACCCTGTCAATTTAATTCACTGTAAAATACAAAACACAAGCTATTAGCTAACATGCTCAGTGCACTTCTATTATATTTTATACCTGGAACATCAAAAAATCCTTTTTCTTTTTTTCTTGCCAAAGTTACCTTTATTCTGAATTTCTCTTTTAGTTCATATATTTTTGTGTATATTATGTATTGTCACTGGGATAATTTCTGAATACTGAAAGGTTTGACAGGCATCATAAAACTTCAGCCTTACAATTGCTAGCAGATATAAAGACTGTGACTATGCAGAGCCCCATATGATGTCATTTGGCCTGTTTGCACAGAATCAATTCAAAGACCAACATTTGATCTTTTAATTTAAATGTGTCAAACAACTTGCAGAAGTATGGCACTTCTTCCCCAAAAGGTACTGTGACACCAAGGCAGTTTCTCCTAACATTTCAGTTTGGCCTATTCAAATGCTAGGGAATTATGTGTGCAAAATATCTCAAAGAATTCTTGGAAAAATGTTGCTTTTTGCATATTATTTTAATTGTTGATAGTCTTTTATTTACCATTATTGTTGTTACTGCTGCTGCTACTACTTAATAATAACAAGAACCTGAAAATACATCTTGATGGCTAAATGCAATACCAAGAGGTTCTCACATTCCAGCAAGTGAAAGCTGATATTGCTTTACTAAAGTCAGCTTTGCAGGATAAGCTTACCATTTGTCATAGTGTTTGGAAATATATGGTGGGTTTGTTTTTATTTATTTTGGGTGAAGAAGTGGATTTTTCTACTAGTTATTTCAGAAGTACTAGCCACATTCTCTAGTAGATTTTGCATGATCTCCAGTAAAGTATTAAACAATTTTCTAAACTAAATACAATTCTGTCACACTGCTCATTTGCTGAGGATGTTTGTCTCTATTCTTTACGAGAAATTAATTTTTTTTTTCAGAGTATTTAATATATTCTATGATGCCAGTAAATCAGAGAGGTGCTACTGGTTAAGGAAGTTAGAACTGCAAGGGATTGTACTTTTCAGGATGTATTCTGAATTTTGATTACTCACTTTCTATCTTACAATACTACCAAACAGTAGATATTGTTTATTTGGGAGAGGTGGCAGAGTGGGAAAAAAATTAATGGAGATAGAATTAATATTTGGTATAGCACAGAAAAGATGATACAGTTTGCTTTTGCTAAAATGACTGAAGTAACTCATGTCCCCATGTACTTAGCCAAATAATCCCTTTCGGTTTACACACAACAGTAAATTGATAGCAAAACCTCTCTTAGTGAAGAGAAAATTTTCCCCTCACCTATTTCTACTGTTACAGCCCCTTTGGGGAGAAAAAAAAAATCAAACTTGGCTAAAGGTTAATAATCATTCATGTCCAGCTTACTATTACTCAATAACTATCAAAGTCTCTAACTCAAAATAGCATTTGCTGGCTTACAGGATCAGAGCCATTACAATCTCTGTGGAAGACTTTATTGAATTTTACACTAAGCTTTAGCTGACTGAACAGGTCAAGCACTGTGGCTTCGAGTTTTCTTTATTCTCAGAAACTCATAAACCCCTCTCCAGTTTGCAGCTCTGTTAGCTAAGAAACTTGACTCAGCATAGGGTCAGAGAAGCTGACCCCCATGAAAAAGGTCACGTAGTTTTAAAACCTAGTTCCTGAATACCATTAACTTACATGCACTAGCTGCTCCTGCGTGTCAAACTCCCGGGAACAGCCTTCCCAGTGGCAGTTTGTCTCATAGACCACTTCAGGCTCCTGTTTGCTTTCATCTTTGTCCCCTTCCTCTTTTACCAAGGTCATTCCTTCTGGCTGTTCCTGGAGAGAGGAAAAAAACAGGGGTGAGAAGAAGAGAGAGGAAATTCTAAAAATGAGGAGGAAGAAAAATGAATTACTTCAGCATTAAAGAAAGATGATGAGGGTGTGCGTGTGTGTGGAGGAGGCAGGAGAGGGAAGATTATTTTACTCTCACTTCACTTTGCAACTCCATTCTACAAAATAGAGAAGCCCAAAAGAGGCCTGATAAGCCAAAAGCCATTTGCAAATGATACATGTAAAATAAATTCTTCATTCCCTTTACATTTCAATTCAAAATGAATCATAATGGTCCAGCTTGTTATTTGTGCACCTGGCTTTCATGACTCAGTGGTATCACCAATGTGAAAGGCACTATTCAATATAATTGAATTAATTGGAATTTGATTTTAGTACTAGGGTTGGACAGAAATTGGATCACCAGTAATCCAGTGTGTTTGCATTATTAGAACAGTAACAGGTTTCCATACTAAAATCTTTCCAAGAGTAGACTGGTAATTTTTGAGTTACTTGTTAGGCTGCTCTTGACCTTAATGTGTGCATAAAAGGGTGAGCAGGGCACGAAAGTGTTATGTTTTGGGGTTAGATTTCCCACCTCCAGTTCATCAGGGTACCTCATTCTCCCCAGCTTTTTATTTGCTGAGAGTAAGAGCCAGATGTTAGCGTAAATATTTGGTTCAGATTATGCACTCGTGCTATTTTTCCATTCCAAACCTGCTGAAGGATTTAGAGAGACCTCTGCTTTGTTTTTATAGATTCACTCACAAGACTGAGGCTCTGATTCTCATCTCCCCTGAGTCACTGTAAATCAAGAGTCACTCCACTAAAAGCTGTGGCATTAACTGGTATAGAATGTACAGCAAACGAGACTGGAGCCTGACACAGGGGCCTCAGTGGCACTATAGTGCTAAGACCCAGTAAGAGTCAAGGTGGCCTTAAGTATTTTTGCTGAACAGAAAACTTGTCCTTAATAAAGACCTGAATGTCTCTTGTTCACTTTTCCATGGCAAACAGAGCATTGAGCATGCTCTGACTGGTCAGAGGTGCCTCTCCATCAGCCTCCTTCCTCTCTGGCCTCATCCTGCTACAGACTCTGCACCCCAGCAGCTGTTCCCATTTAACCCTGGCTACTGTGAGCGGAGACTGCCCGTGTGTGCAGCACACAAAGTGCAAAGGAGCCTGAAAATCTGTGTGTCACAGGAAAGGTGCATTTTCACTCCAGCAGCAAGAGGGAAGGCTCATGACTGGAATCTGGCTTCCATACCTGCATGCTTCCTGCTCCTGGGCTGGGGAGGTCCTCGTCAGGCTTTATCTTGGAGCGCTTGTTGTGCATGGGGTCTCCTGTGCTGCTCACTGCAGATTCACTTGTGGGTTTATTCTGCTGCAGGCAGGTGGGGTTTGTTTTTTTTCCCCCAGAAGAAGACAAAATTAGACTGTGATAAACATGTGGCTCCAAACAAAAATATGCAGCATCTGCTCAGCAACTTTGTATGGAGAAGCTGCACTGTTACTTATACTGGATATGCAATTACATTGTTCTTCAATTACATAGCATTGGCTCATGAAAGAGCTGCATTGCTCAACCTTGTAGTGGAGCAGGGAGGGAGTGGGAAGGGGAGCATTTGAAGCAATTGCTTGCTACAAACCAATGCTGGCTTTGTCAGAGCAGTGAGAGGTAGGAAGAACTTGATTTTCCACATAACAACAACTTTGGAAGGACAATTTTGAAAAGGAAAATCACTGCATGCTCAAAGAAACACAGGAGAAACATTTATTTTTTCACACTTGAAGGAAAGGTTTTGCATTTAATATCTGCACACAAGATCTCAGCTGCTTTACTATGTTGCCCATTATAATGGGTGGATAGGAAGAACTGAATGCTAGTGTGAGACTCAGCCAAAAAATCCTAGATGAAGTCCTAGATTCCCACAAGTTAATAGCAAAAGAGTTGACATAAACAGGCCAGAATCTTGTTTTTCTCTTGTTCCGCTCGACCGAACACCATTAACTACACCTGCAAATGGATCTTGTAGGAATCCAGAGATCTTTTAAAGATATCTGAACTTGCAGAGACCCCACAAAAAAATCAATATGTTTTCTACAGCAGTATGTTCTTCCTCTACATTTGTAAAGCTAGCCAGGAGATAAACAGCTTCCAGGCTGATAAATAACCTATCCCAGGTCATACAGAAATAAACAGCACTAGTTAATAGCAGGCAAATCACAAACTGTGATAAAGTCCACATTAGGGGCCTGATTCACTGCTGCTCATTCCTGGCTTTTGAGATATACCTTACTGAAATGATTAATTCAAACCCAGTAAGTCCAATTTTGTGCAAATCAGAGAAGAAACCTTCAATCCTCTTCACTGTCTTTGAGTTTCTTTCTTGCTCACAGAATTACTTGCTTCAGGTTACTCACAGTTGAACAAGGAGGGCAGAATATGACCCTGTATATCCTAGGGTCAGCCTGATTTGAAGGTGAAGCTGCTAATCTTTACAATATTGGTGTTTTGATGTGTTTTGCCCCTTTTCTTACTCCCCACCTCTATTAGGTCCCTGTATAAGACCGAGGAGAGGCAGTATGGAACAAAAAGCCACTGCAGTACACTGGAATATTTATGAGGACTAAAAAGCACACTACCAATCAGGAACTGCATCAACACTCCTGTGATTCATAATAAAGTGCCTGCAAACACTGGAGCTACAAGAAAACTGTTATCAAAGGGTCTCAGTGACAGTGGTGATTAATTGCCATTGAGACATTGCCATTTATTTAATTTTTAAATTAATGGGGTGTAAAGGTTTCTTTTGTTGTCTCTCACCTGTGTGGACTCAGAGGGTCCAGAGCTGACTTGGACAGGGTTCAGGACACTGGGGATGCCAGGGATAGGTCTCTGGGTAGGAAAAGTTGGAGCAGGATGGATGAGTGGAGGGCTGTGTCCAAAGGCTGAACCTAGGGTTTGCTGACGACTTATAATTTGCTGATGCATTTGCTGGAGGGATACTGGTGTAGGAGGGTATGTGAAACTCAAAGCAGGGCTGAATTTGGGAGAAAAAGGAGGGAAGAGAGAGGAAAAAGATGAGGATCATTACAGTAAGGAACTTTACAGATTAAAACTTTAAAATATATTTTATATCTTTAAACTAATTGAAGCCAGACTTCCCCCTCCCACTCATATCCTTCTTCATGCCCCAAAGGATGATAAATCCTGATTTTAAATCCAGAGTTGCCCTGGATTTACTAGTGAGTACAAAAATGGTACCATAACACAACATAACATTTTTTCCTAACCTCTACCAGGAAACCACAGAAAGCTAACTGAAATAAAATTCAGAAAAACCGAAATAAAAGGCAGGCAGTTCAATAACAGCTATTTATTGCAATAACAAACTTTATATAAAGAAAAAGAATGGGTGCCTACATGCTTTATAGTACTTTTATTGATAATGCAGTTCCCCTATGTTCGTGTGTATGAAGCAATTCCTTTAATCTTGGCTCATGCTACGCTTTTTCATATGTCTCTAGATCTTATTACAAGAGGAGAGAAAATCAATTGGTTAAATGTGTTCTGAACACCATGCTTGTCATATCACTCATTTGTTTGCAAAGATGGAAAGCTCAGTTCATCCAGAATGTCACCTAAAGAATTTCCATCAGTGCCGTTTGGTTACAGAAACTGATGGATTAACCTTTCCCCTCTGAAATTGGTGATCAATGACTTCCAATGTAGAAATATTCCAATGGGAAAGCACTTCTCCTTCTTCCAGTTAAACAACATTAAATGTCTATTAAAGCCCATTATGTATGTTAATACCTGTCATCACTTCATTACTTCACCGTATTTCCCAGACCACAGTGACTTAGGGGGAAATTACACTGCCATGTAAGGACCTATTTTGTGAGTAGCGCAAAAGCATTCTTTGTGTCACACTTGAGAAATAAATGGTGTGGAACTAAATCTGCACACAGGAGTAAGAGATCCTCCTGTATTAGCCAATAACTTCCAATCATAAAGGGAAAAAAAAAAAGAAAAAGAATATTCATTGATTTAAAAAAATATACTGAACTACCAGAGTTCAAAAAAGCCACAGGAATATAAAACATTTCATCTCAAAAGAGATGGGTGTGGGCATTATACCTTCCAAGAATCAAGGCTTTTTCTAATGTCAAATTTATCCAAGTTAACAGTCTGGAGCCTTAATTGCTGTTGCTGTTAAGTGCATTAACTGAAAATACTGTGATACAAAAAGCCAAAATAATTTCAACCATTTTAAGTAATAATTCTGCAGAAATTCTGTGTTCATTAATATGACTATACATTTTGTCTTTTTCACTACAATCCCTAACATGTGATTCAATGTGATTACATTACTATTATTCCTGGTGAGAACTCTGCATTACAACAGTTTGCCCATTTAGGACAGAATATCATTAAGAATACCGTGGGAGAATTTTACTGGCCTTTGAGGAACTCTCTTTTCAGTCTGCATTGTATTCTTTCTAATAAAGGGAGGCAGAAATGTAGTGAAAACAGTAATTGTTCACAGCAAGAGTTAGGGAGAAATCAGTAATAATATTCAGTTATTGAAGCTCTATAGTCCCTGCTAGTGTTCCTGTAAGCAACCATGAATGATTACAGCACGACTTAGCTAAGGTAGCCACTATGGATGATTAATAGGACATTAATCAAAAGATGCATATCAGGCTTAGAATTTGTTCACAAGCTTTCTTCTAATAGCTGATTTCATGTTCACTGAGCTCTATGCCAGTTTGTTCAATTTATTCTTCAGTGTACAAGCCATTCATCAAAGAACATAATGATTTAACACCCCTTTTCCTTTTTAGTGAACAAACATTGCTAAGTGTAACTACTCTGGTCTGTTCATTAAAAAACACACAATTACACTGCCACAGATCAGGTTGAAAACAAAGCCTCTTTACTATACCCTGGTGTTTTTTGCTTCCACACACACACTGTGAGTTCACCTCGTACACTCAAACACTAGACGGCACCATCCTGAAGATGCTGTCAAATTCACCAAGATGAACAAACACGACACACAAACAGTTTGAAGTATTTTATTTCTCTGTGAGTGGTTAAAGCCTAGGACACATTCACCCTTCAGATGAGTGAGTTTAAAAGAAAAAAATAAGTAGACTGATTTCACTGGCAGTTCCAAGCACACGGCAGCCTTTGGAAATACAGGTTGAGTATTGGGGTTTTTTTGATGTTTTTTTTTTCCATTTGACCATGCACAATACCTACCTTTCCAAGTCCAGGTTCACAACTGTCATAATTTCCTTCTGACTCTACATGGTAAAAAGACAATTGTGCGACTCAAGAAATGCAGTGCTTAAACATAAAGTAAGTATACTTGCTATTCCCTTCCCTACATAAATTGAAATGGCCTCCACCAAAAGGATAGATTTTACCTCCAAGAGATGCCCTTGTTACCTACATCTGTCTTCACACTGTACGAGCAGTATCCACAAAGAGGATGCTAAGCCAGGCATTAACAAAATGGTAAAGTACAATAGAGGAGACAGACATCATCTTAGCACAAGGTTCTTACTGGAAAACAGTGACACCAGCACTAGTTGCATTAAGACACAGCTGGACAGATGTGTTAAGGGAAGGAGGACTCCTTTTTTCTTTAGTATCTTTCTTTTATGCTGTGCTCATCAGCAACGGTTGAGTCTAAGGGACTAGGATTTTCCTATGGAGCCTGAAAACCTGCACTTCATTCCCTCTACCTCCAAACTTCAAACATCTCAGAATGAAATGAAAAGGTGATTGTGAGGGAACAGAGGAATAGCCAGCACAGCCAAGGGGAGTAACTCAGAAAAGGAGACAATGGTTCAGCCATCAGGGTGACTTCTTAAATAGCTCAGGTAGCTGCCTTCAAATAACAATTCTCTCCAGCTGTTTCTGGAGAGCTCCTCATAAGGCAAGGTGACCTGGATGGGTTTAATGTCACTGGCATACAAGATGTCGTCACTGGGCAGCCTGAGGATTTTTCTGATTTGAACAGATCAGAAGGTTCTGAAGAGAACAGAAGGTGGTAGGTCTTTCTCTGCCTTTCAGAAACTATACAATAAAGTTAATGCTGAGGGCCAAAAAGAAGAAAAATAAATCAAAGCCCTCAACATTTGCTGGCGTGGTGTGCTCTACTGGGAGGGGAAGGCCTGAATTCCTGCCCTCCTTCCCAAAGTTTTTCACTGCATTTTGTTCAGCAACTCCTGAATACAGGATGGAAGGGGGATCTCTGTAGCCCAGAGCCCCATGTGATCCCTCTGCCTTGACCAGCAGCCATATGTCCTCCTGCTGGCCCTACCAAGTTCACACTGCTTCTTAGCCAGACGGCCAGCATCAGCAGGAACGATGGACAGTGGCACCAGCTGCCCTTTCTCCAGTTGTTCCAATCATGTCCACTTATAAATGTGCAGCAGTGAACCACCTAAAATTGATGCCCAAAACCAGTAAACAAGACCTGAAAGTAGTAATTTTGAGACTCCGGAACTACTAAAACTAACACCGTTTTTTCAAAAACAATGAGTAGTTCCAGAGGTCTCATTTTGAGTCAAGTTTCTTTTAAGACAGTTTTAAGAGGCTGCATTTCAGAAAAGGAGAGCTCAATGCTTCCAAAATCCAGACACCAGAAGAACATGAGAATCCTGCCCCAATTGTTTATGTTTTCCAAAACACCAGCCACTTCTAAAAATTATTGGATTCACAGAAATGTAAATGAACTATGAATCTTTTCCTTCCATCTACCTACTTAAATATGAAAATTTACACCACTGGTGGGAATTTCATTTGTATTTCTGTTACAGATTTTAAACGAAATAGAAAAAGAAAAGAAGATGAAAGCATGTATGGCCACTAAAAATTTCATGCCAGTTATCTTTTTAGTTGTTGAATTTTATGAGGAATAAGGGTTAGAAGAAACATGCAATATTTCTGCTTAAGCATTCAATAACTCATGTGCACTGACAGAAAAGCTCATAAGTGATATCATTTATTTTATCATACTGTGGGCTTCTGTGTCTCTCTGTCATTCTGTCTGTCTGTCTCTCTTCTCCTCATCTGCAAAGTCTCAAACCCTCTTCACTGGAGGTAACGCAGGGCAGTGGACTACATTGCAATTACATGAGCACATCAAATTTTAAAGAATAGACTTCAAGAAGAAAAACAGACATTATAATCAAAACCAAATTTTGTGACTACTTTGTGGCTGTCCTCCTAACAAGGTCATCCAGTTTCTGGTCACAGCTGCAGAATTTACCACAAAACATCTGTGAATTAAAGTCAGGAAAAAATCCTTCTTTCTTATACATTGCATAGATGCGCCTAAGAAGGCAAAAATGCTGAGGAGATTCCAATTTTGTAAATACTGCAAGGACTGTTTCACTGTATCACAGTGATTTTCTTCCCAAAAACTCTGAAGGCATCCTCTTTGGGTTATAAAATGCAAAGTTCTGCAAGATCTCATGCATGTAAATCTTGCACAAGTATCTGAGTGCTTTCCCCTTTCTGGTTCTGCCTTTGCAAGGTTTTAGGACAAGAGCTTCCCAAGCATGTTAATGAGGGAGCATTTAATGAAAGACATAGGGGAACAACTTGAAAGAGTAAAAAAAAAGCATTTGTGGACTTTTAGAATAGCTGCAGACATAGCCAGCAGGTTCATATGTGACTAGACAAATCCAAAGACAACAGGTCCATACTGAAATACTGAAGGGAAAAAGCAAGAGTGTACACTTTGGGGTTGCTAACCTAAAGAACATTGATGCTGAGAGAGCACTAAGAGAACAAAAGTGAATAAGCAAGGGGTTCATGTGCTTCTTAAATAGAATCCCTGTCTGAACCATGAGGGATACACTAACTAGAGTAACACCTCTAGTTTAACCCAGTGGGGTATTTCTGATGTTTTTAATTATTTTTTTCTTCATTTTTAAACTTCAGAAAGATACATTTTTTGCTTTGGGGTGTCTTTATTTATTCACATAGAACCATATTATGTTTACCATATTTAAATTT